TTCCATTGAAACCTGGTCTGTGACTGAAGAGAGGGTAAATCTTCCAGGACAATACCTCTATGCCATCGTCTCCTTTTGTTTTGCTTTTGGCTCTAAATAAAGCTGCAGGGATATTGTCTCCACGGAGAGGACACGGCACGACAACAGGAGGTGAAACTGGAGATGGAGAAGAATACCGTTTAGAAACAGATTCAGATTAGTCAGTTTATTTGCCATTTGCAGTAAAACCACCGACCCAGAAATGGATTAAAGGGAAGAAAATGGATGGAGGGCTAAAATTAGAGCAGAGTTTATGAATTTCTTATTTTGATTCCACGGAGTGTTAGTAGCTCGAGGACAAACGTTTATTGTTAAAGTAGCAATATGTAAGCTTTTCATGTCAAGTCATCATTAAAGGGCTCTAATCTGTCAAAAGGCATTAATTAAACATGCTCGTTTCCAATACTTATTTAACTAATACCAGTAGTTCAGATATATTGGAATTTCAAAATTTGTTTTACAGCCCCTAAATCTTGTTATTGTTTTCATTTCGATGTCCCGCACTCCACTGCTTGACCAATCAGAAAGTCTGTGATCCGAGTTGCCAGAATTCACAGCGTCGAGTGTTAAGCAAATTTCATGGTAAAATAACATGTGGCCGCAGAACTAAAAAAGGTCTTGTTATGATTCTCAAATCACTAACGACAAAACAAGGAATGAACCAAGAATTTCTATCTTTGTGAATAAGGTATTGGTTATAGATATGTTTCCCAGCTGGATTCGTCTGCATATCTGGCAACCTGAGTCAGGAAGAGTACAGTACCCCTTTTGGCCAGATTTTTACTTACTGCTCCTTTAAAATAGACAACATGAAAACCTGTGGCTTATATTCAAGTGCGGCCTATATGTGAACAACAGTTACTTTCTCTTCCGATTCACCTGGTGTCGTTTATGTACAGATGCACTTCATAGTCCTTCAAGTTCAAGTATAATGATAAAAGTACTTTGATTGGCCCAGTTCTGGTTCAAACGGTGCCAAAATCTGTTTTTTGTAGCAATGTGAAAGCACCAAACTAGTGCGTCCTGGTCCAGTGGTCGCAAGAGTTCAGTGTCATAAGAAGAGAGGTTTACAAGTGTCTGTGTAGGTTTCCTCCAGGTGCTCCAGTGTCCCCTACCACCTTAAACATGTACAAGAGTTCAGGGTGAATATGTCTTTGTGAGTGCGACTGTGGGACCATCCAGAAAGGTGTGATTTTTAGCGAGTGAACCCTAGCCCTGTAATTATTTCACTTATTTCGAAGCAAAAATCAGACTTGGAAAGAACTGTTATTATGTTTGCTTTCACCGCGTTGCTTCCTCTTGTGGTTTCTGCAGGAGACGTTGAATTTAGAAAGATTCATGCATTTGACAAATTCATATTTTCGCCATTGCACTGACCACCACAACATGGACAAGCCACTGTTTTGTGTTTTTGAATTTTCAATTTTGTGTGCAGATGAGTTAGCTCAGGCGTTTTGACGTTTTGAAAAATAAATGTGGCTAGCTGCTTACCAAAAGTGGGGTCCCTGTTTTCAGAATCAGAATTATTTGTATTGACATTGTCCCAAACGAAGTATCTCGGGCGCTACAGCTGTAGGATTTAAGGCTGTAAAACCCTCACACTTTATGCACTTTTCTAACCACCTGAACTCACGACTGATGAAGAGAGAGGGACCAGAGAGGCCCTGAAGAGACCAGAGAAAGACTAAAGAGAGACCAGAGAGAGAACAGAGAGACCAGAGAAAGACCAGAGAGAGGCCAGACATAGACAGAACAGAGAGAGACCAGATAAAGACTAGAGAGACCAGAGAGAGGGAGACCAGTGGGAGAGACCAGTGAGAGAGACCAGTGAGAGAAAGACCTGAGAAAGAGAGACCAGTGAGAGACCAGAGAGAGAAAGACCAGAGCATGACCAGAGAGAGAGACCAGAGCCAGTGACTAGAGAGAGACCAGAGAGAGTGACCAGAGACAGAACAGAGAGAGACCAGATACAGACTAGAGAGACCAGAGAGAGACCAGATAAAGACTAGAGAGACCAGAGAGAGGGAGACCAGAGAGAGAGACCAGAGAAAGTGACTCGAGCATGAATAGAGAGAGACACCTGAGAGAGACCAGAGAGAGACCCGAGAGTGAGACCAAAGAAAGACGAGAGAGACCAGAGAGAGACCAGAAAGAGAGAGAGCACAGAGAGAGACGGTGTGACCAGAGCGAGAGACCGGATACAGATTAGAGAGACCAGAGAGAGACCCAGTTTAAGATCAACATTGAGATTACAAATGCTCTAAAGCCATGTCTGTTGTAGACTTCTATAGACAGAATAACCTTAAAATAAAAACCCCATTATACTAAACGGAAAACTATACCATGTTTATTCCCACAAACCTCTCCATTAGACCGAACATCATTGACTTGTGTAATCCCTATGTGACTGGATCAGGTTTTAAAGGAGCCATAATCACCAATCAGCCTCCTCTGTGAGCTCCAGAATCAATTCAAAGTCACATTCGGGGGATTTGAACCTAGAATTACCCACGTCTGCTTTGTCTGTCTGCGGCAGGAGGGAAATTACTCGCTTTTCCATGAGACACGCGGAATGAGACTTAATTCAGAAAGGGGCTGGAGAAAAACAGGAAGAAAGAGAAATTGGAGTATTGTGCAAACTGAACTGTGTGGAATCACGGCTTCTATAAAAGGTACAATTATCCAGACTGAGAGGTACTTCACAATCTCTTTGTGGAAAATAAATGGTACTGTCTCTCTCTGGTCTTTCTGGTCTATCTGGTCTCTCTGGTCTCTCTCTGGTCTCTCTTTGGTCTCTCTCTCTGTTCTCTCGCTGGTCTCTCACTGGTCTCTTTCTGGTCTCTCCCTGGTCTCTCTCTCTCTCACTCTGTTCTTTCTTTGGTCTCTCTCTATGGTCTCTCTCTGGTCTCTTTCTGGTCTCTCGCTGGTCTCTCCCTAGTCTCTCTCTGGTCTCTCCCTAGTCTCTCGCTGGTCTCTCTCTGTTCTCTCTCTGGTCTCTCCCTAGTCTCTCTCTGGTCTCTCTCTGTTCTCTCTATGGTCTCTCTCTGGTCTCTCTCTGGTCCCTCTCTGGTCTCTTTCTGGTCCTTCTCTGGTCTCTCTCTGTTCTCTAAAATAAGAATAGAGACCTTTCAGTTTGAAAAACTATAAAACAAGAGTTGAAAGATGAGATCAAACGTTCATATTCCCTGACCACAACATACCGAACATTTGCTGCATGTTTTTTTGTACTAGTTTTTCTTTAACATGTGATGCTAGTGTGATGCTAATGTGTCCCTCATTTGGACCAATTCTGTCTCAGTCTGAGGCCCATAAAAAGTTTTCTAGTTTCAGGATATTGGACTGACTTGAGAAAACCCACACACATAGCTCATTCCAGATGCCATTGTGTGTTAAAGCTAATTCTGGTGAGATAAATGCTATGTTGATGTTTCCAGATGGATGGATTAATATCACATCACACTTAACCTGATTGTGACATTTCCAGGTCTTAATGTGAGGAGCTGTGACCTTTAGATTCACGAGTCAAGGATACGATTATAGGAAGCATCAAACTAATCTGTTCGGAAGAAATGTTAAGTCTTTGGACGAGGTGTGTCTCATTGAAAATGTTCTCATGGGTTGACTTTCTTCAACCCAAATCACAGCAGAATTTTACAAAGTTGTCAAAGGAAACGGTTCGAAAACAGTAAAAACACATTGGAGCCCTGGCAATAGTGGGATCATAATTAGATAGTTCGTAGTCATCGTTAGGAGTCGTTATAGTCCTTTTGTTTCTCTTTGTTCCGTTTATTTTCCGCACATTTGGTTTCCCGCTCAAATAGCCTCTCCAAGCTAGCTCCAATCGACCTCTGCGTAAGGCTAACATCACGGCTGACGTCAGGACTCAGTCAGTCCACAAGTATTGCCCCTGAATTAGTTTTAGTCATTTCTCAGCTGAAATTACATATCGACAATGTTTTTACAATCACATGTCTGTGTTTGCAAGCAGTAATGTTCAACACCTCCCTCTGGTGGTAGCATAGCTTAGCATTTTAATCTTCACACTTGTTTCAGAATGTGTTCTACTTAAGATGATAGTCCACATTCTAAAACCCGAGATGAAGTAAATAGTCCTCATCTGTTTGAATGGCAAACAAAGATGCCTAAGTTTATAATCTTTAATGTGGACTGCAGATGACTTATGAGTGTTCTCCACCAGTAAACATTGCATTCATTATCTGTGGCCGCCTCGTCCTTGGGGAGGACGACCTGAGACTCTCATCCTTAATAACCGGATACATTCTGTACTGCACGGCCTCAGTCCTGGTTCTACAGCCTCAGTCCTGGTTCTACAGCCTCAGTCCTGGTTCTACAGTACAGCCTCAGTCTTGGATCTACAGCCACAGTCCTGGGTCTACAGCCTCTGTCTGTCCGTGGGAGCAGATCCCTCTCTCAATATGGGCCTCCCCGAGGTTTCTCACTTTTTCCCACTAGGTTTATGAGTTGTTCCTTGCTGATGCAGGAGGGTTTAAGGACAGTGACGATCCCGACAATTTATTAGCATTTATGGACATTGGTCTCGCTTCCTAAGAACCAAGGGTTATTCGTAAATTTCCTCTGTTCAAACTGGTGAAACTTAACTTTCTGACCTGATGTTAAATCATCAACACTTTTTTTTTTTTCTTGTGTTTGAACTGCTTGATTCTCTGATCGGTGTTGGTGAATTCAACGGTTTTGCAAAGTCTTCTGAGAAAACTACTGTTTTGATTTAGGCCAATACAAGAATAATATAAATTGAATTGTTGAGGAATCTACAGCATTGTAAAGTTCTCAGAGATGACTGAGCTGCAGATGCTGTTGTTTTTTCATGACTATACCAACATACATTGTATTTGATTGAAATTTTTTCTCTCTCTCTTGTCTCTTTCTCCTGTCTATCTCTCTATCCCTCTCTATCTCTCTCTCTCTCTTCCTTTCTGCAGGTCTGATTGTGGGCTCTCTCATGGTGTGCTGGCTCCCAAACCAGATCCGTCGTCTGATGATGGCAGCCGTGCCCAAGTCTCGCTGGACCGTGCCGTACTTCCACAGCTACATTACTCTCCACCCCATCGCCGACACCTTCTTCTACCTCAGTTCCGTCATCAACCCCTTCCTCTACACCATCTCCTCGCGGCAGTTCAGAGAGGTGTTTTTCCAGGTGTTGAAATGCCGCTTGACGATCCAACACGTGAACAAACGCACGGTGCCGAGTTCGCGAGCAGCTTCCGGCCGATCCATACAACCCCTGATCTTTAAATCGTTGCGGAGAAACAAAGGGAATGCGTCCACTGTGGGGAAAGAAGACCCTCCTCCTCCTCCGACTTTTACCACGTTTGAACAACAAAGTGACTCAGGGATCGGCTCGGAATCGCCCCAGACGCTAACTCTGATCGAAGAGACTGAGGAGCATGAGAAAACTGCACTGCCGGAGTCTGAGATCTGATTGGACTGGTTTGGGTTTGAAAAGAGGGATAAACTACCTATTATTTGAATGTATTTTGTACTGCCAAAGATATTAAAGCTTGATTAGAGAGATTAAAGATAAAGAGATCCTTTATTCGTCCCGCGGTTGGGGAATTTCAGTGTTGCATCACAAGTTATAGAACAGTAGGAAAGAGGAGCACACGGCACAAGATAAGTGAACAAAAGCGATACTAATTAAAATAATAACGGCTTATTAAACGAGCGCGAGGTTAATAAATGTTTTATTATATGACCATTTTTAATCTGTGCAAATATCGATCGGTTTCAACTAGCAAAAACACAGCAACCAAGCTGTCAAATGGTGACATGAAGAACTTGCTTATCAGATGATTGAGGTCGCCCGCTGGTGAGTTCTCAATCTCTTCTGTGTCTTTACCAACGCTTTTTAGATATTTGTGAAGTATGTTCATGTCCGACTTGGTTTTCCTAATCGTGTTTTTACCTTTCTGGTCTGTAACAAAGTTGTCAATCTCTTCTAGACTGTTAGGAGTTGAGTTTTTGTCGTTATTTGCTGTTATTACCAGTTGTCGCTCATTATTTCTTTTTTACCAAGGAAAGATATCAAATCTGATACGCGCTGTGGACCAATTGTCATGGTAACGGTCCGAGATGGGAACATTTCAGACCGCAAATCAGCCAATCAGAGCGCGCAAACAATCCAAGTCATACAGTATAATAAAACAAAATATTTTACTCCAGCATCAATAACAACAAAGTCTAAACATGCTGGTCAGATTCCACACTAACTCTCAAAACTGGAAATATGTTATCAAATCTGACTACACTGCAAAAAATTTATACAATGAAGTATGTCGTAATAATTGCTTGGATTAAGTGTTTTTATTTTTATTTTAGTTTGAGCGACTGTTAAATGTGCTCAAATTAGGATATATTTTGCTTTGATCTTGTGGTCCGATTTGCTTTTCTTTACGAGACTCCTTAGTGTTTGAACAAAGAAGAGATATATAATAATGTTATAATGAAACAGAAAAGTTAGGTACCCCAGCTTTAATTATAAACTACCAGTACCAGAGACTGAGATTAATTTCCTTTGAGAGGATTTTACTAAAAACATTAAAAAACTACCTACTTTTTCAGTATTTGCTTCCGTCTGTCTTTTGTTCTTATTTTATCTTTAAGTGCAGAGAGATGTCCATAGATAATAAAGTTCTGATTCAAACTGAGTGAAAGTTGATTGGTAGAAGAGTAAAGAGCGAGTCTAAACCAAAGTGTCTCTTCTTGTCCTTGTGCTGTGTGCAGAGAAACAGACCAAAGCAAACATCAATATTTGTGGATGTGGCACAAGCTGAAGAGAAAGATCTCACACTCCTCAGGATGCTTCTCTGTCAGACGGAAACAGAAAGATGCTGCCTAAAAGTGATCGCCGTAATGATTATACTTCCTGGACAATAAGACGCACCTGTAACATTTATCCCACTTTTTAAATTATTTTCAAAAAAACATTTAAATCCCCCTTCAACCCCCAAACCCATGTTGTTCAGGTCCACAATGAGAACCCCCCCAAGCCAAATCCACTTGCACAACAAGGGGCGGTACTAATGCAACCAGGCCACGCCTCCTCTACGAGGATGTGTTGGGGATGGGAAATTTGCACAGATCTATGGGAAACTCGCCTGTATTTGGGCATCGTCTGGTCCTCCCGGTTCTGCGCAGTGGATGATCTCCCATAATGCGTTGCGCCAAACACGCGTGTGTGGGTCTCACACCGGGTCTCACGCACGTGCACAGAGGGGCTCAGCCGCGCTCTGACCAATCAGAGCAGTTCATCAGAGCGGGAGTTAGAGCAAGAGCCAGACGAGCAGAGTTTGTGGCAGAAAAGTGTGGATTTAAAGAAAACCGAAGGATTTAAGAAGAAAAAAAGTTCAGGATGACAAGGGACACTAAAATCCCCACAAAATCCAACCTTTATGAAAGCTGTAGGTTCTCTGTCAGCTGAGGTTCAGCTGTTTTAATATGCATTGAGTCCTATGGGGAAAATTTCTGGGTAGCCCAGAATTTAGTCTGGTCTAGTCTGCAGTACCGCGAGAATCCCCCGAGCACACGGGTTATTCAGCTACAAGAAGCTACGAGAAGATGGAACCAAAGCAAAATAATGATTGATGAAGAAATCAAGCCGGGGTGAATATAGTTAGCTTACATCGTATCCTCGCTGAGACCTGCGGGAGACTCTCCAGCCTCGGACTACATTTGGACGTGAAACTGGCAGTCATTCTACTTGAACTTGATAGGTCATTTTTCTGTTATTTCACTGAATATAAGATTAGCAGTGCACTGCTTTAGTACCATTTCATCAGTGATTGTCATACAAGGAGTTGTGCTAATGTTAGCAAACGTGGGAGGCGAGTGTAGGGCAGAGTGGGAGTGTTTCTCTAAAACCCTGTGATCGAGTTGAGGGGTGGTGCTAAACATTCAAACTGATAAAACCTTGCAGAATCGTGTATATCTCCTTTAAATGGCCACTCAGACCTCAGTACATAAGTTCACAAATACATGGATTGAGTTGCATCACTTTAGTTTCTCCCCACTGAGCAGCAGGTCTGTCTCCTGGTCCTTCTTTGCTACAGGAGCATTTATTATTTATAGGAACACATCAGGTCTGCAGCCTCACCGGCAGTTCAGAGCCATGGCCCCCAGCAACAGAGAAGGTTACAACACCAGAGCAAAGATCCAGCCTGATATTCTGTACGCTCTGGTTTAGGATCGTAGACTTTTTTAAATGTTACGACTAGTTTTTATGTTTTTTATTTTTATTATAGGCCTTTACCGAATGGTTGAGATGCAGGTAAAAGTGCCTAAAAGCAAGTGAGAAGTGTTGTGGATTTGAAATACAGCACACGCTGATACAAGAAAACACTTCTATTTTCTTTATCTATGAAATTGTATGTTTAATCATGAAGTGCTTCCATAATAGTATTTTTATATTGTGTGTTTTCATATTAGCCTGAGGTCAATGAGTTGCTAAACAATGGACAGCCTTGGACTATTCTTTTCAGAGAGGGAGAAGAGATGAGACCAGATCAGATCCAGTCCAGACCAGACCAGACTCTCCGGTTTGGACCCTTTTGAGCTGGGACCCGCCTCCTCTGATGGTGACATGGCAGATGCATTTTATGAATGTTTTTATTCTCTGACCTGTGTTGGCGAAGCGACAACTTTGTAAAGTCCTCTGATGGGCTATACAAAAATAAACTTAATTGAATGAACAGAAAGTTACCCAGTTATGCATGGTGTCTATGGAATTTGAATGTATATAGCAGCCATTCCCAAACTCAGTAACACCGAGGCCCCCTTAAAAATCTGACGGGTCTGCGTGGCCCCAAAATAATAACCAAGAAGACAACATTAAGAATAGGCTCTTCTGGTTATTTTATTTTGGGGAAATAGCCTCTGCTACAAACATTGTAATACAAAAATGATTACAGTGGATTATTCAAGTCAAATAATGAACACAAATATTTTAATATTACAAACAAAACATTATAAATTTAACATTAAATAATTATATTATTTTTTTATGACCTCCCGCGGCCCCCCTGCAGTACCCTCGCGGCCCACCAGGGGGCCGCGGACCCCACTTTGGGAGACACTGGTGTATAGTATCAGTATTGTACCAGTATAAACTCAGTATAGTCTCAGGAAAGTCTCAGTATAGTATATACAGTAGTATCAGTATAATAATAATCTTTATTCCGGACTCAAGGTCCATACAAAACACAACACAAGGACACCACAAGAAACAGAAAAGGGAACTAAAGCGAGTATATAGTATATTGTCTCAGTGTTGTATATAGTATCTGTATATTCTACGTCATGGTGCTACGACCCTTAGGACTTCGCTAGTGGGATATCACGTGACCCCCAGGTCACACGCCAGAGAGATCAAATATATAAAAATATGCTCCAATCACTAGCGACCCTCCTCTATAAAAGCCCCTGCACAAGGCCGCGCCCCCTCTTTCACTCTGGCGCCGATTGAGATCATACTTACATCTACTACATCTACTTTGTCTGCTGAGATGTCTGCCTCGACCGCTCGTCCGATTTTCCCTTCGCCCTCCGGCGTCGGACGTCGTCGTTGCTTGGAGTGTCGGGTCAGGCTCCCGCGCACGGACCAACTTCAGCGGTGGAGGACTTCACCTCGGTGGGCGCCACCACTCGAGGGAAGAGGAGGAAGCAACCCACGTTGTGCTCGCGGATGGACCCGATCCTCCATTATGCGACACGTGAGTGGCCAAAGCCCCTAGCAGCCAAGAGGCCAGCTCTGGGGTATGGCATGTACTGCAGCGTGCAGGACTGGTCCTGGACCGGTGGTGTCCCGGACATAGTGGACTCAGTCCGCATGGCCCTGCAGCCCTCCGCATCCGTGTGGCCCGGCGCCAGACCTCTCCTTCCCTCCGAGCGGGACAGGATGTCTTTGGCGATGCTGGATAGATGTTATGCCAATGCGGCTCAGGTCGTCGCGTTGGCTAACAATATGGCGTTCATCACGGGGGCCCTGGATAGGTCGCTCTCCTCTGGCCAGGCGCTCAGTGGAGACCTCCTGTCAGAGGCTAGGACCACCTCCGCGGCGATCCTGCGCATGTGCCAGGCGTTGGCCGTGGAGGGTGGCCGCTCCATGGCTGCAGCCCAAGTCGGGGCCAGGCACCTTTGGCTTGGGCTGGCTAATATCAGGGAGGAGGAGAAGAGGCAGCTGCTGGACCTGCCCATCTCCCAGACGTCCCTCTTCGGCCCGGATATGCAGGCCCTGGTGGCGACACGGGAGTCTGCAGCTAAGGACTCGGCTAGGCTAGCCCCGCACCTAGCACCGAGGCGCGAGGCCCACCAGCCATCACGGAGCCGGGACAGAGGCAGAGAGCTTTCGCCCAGGAGGCGTCCTGACCCGTATCCTCGCTCCGTCATCCATCGTCCCCCCTCGACGAGGCCCCCGGGTCCAGACAG